CACACACCACCACGCCCGGTTAATTTTTTGTATGTGTGTGACTTATTGTAGAGATGAGGTCTCACCAAGTTGCCCAGGCTAGTTTGGAACCCTTGGACTCAGGCAATCCTCATGCCTCGGCCTCCCAAAGTGCGGGGAAGACAGTCTGAGCCACCATGCCCAGCCAGTTCCATCTTTTAAACATGGGACTCAGTGACTTTTGAAAGATTTTTGCACCAAGTCTACTTGGCAGCCTCTAGGCTATTCCTACCTGAAGGAATATAGGCCAAGCTCTACTCAAGGAAATCATACAGTAGACTTAGTGGGGGTTAGGGTTAGGGCTAGAATTAGGGCTAGGGTTACGCTTCAACATCCAGTCTTAGCAAACACATTTCCAAGTTGTTCATAGTTCACTGAGAACTGACAAATTATAAGAACTTATCCGACTAACCCCATTGGCACCTCCCAATCCATGTAAAAGTGAACCCTTCAGTTCATGTCTTAGTTCATGAATTAGCAAGTAATTTTCTAATACCTTTAGAAAAGTATATTCATCCTGCACTAAACAAGACTCAAAGACTCCGAGGTAGAAAGGACCGAGGTGGTACTGTGAAGCTGAGGGCCCACCCTCTGCTTGCATCCTTCCAGTGACATTTGGTGTTTCTCAAAGGAGCGGAGGCTTGTTACAAAACAGACAGTAAGTCATTCTCCTACGCACCCATCCACATACCCATCTACCCCTTCATTCAGCAGATATTTATTAGTTACCGGGTTGGATAATAAAATCACTTCTCGAAATTGTCTCATCAGTTTTATAATCAACTTCCAGACCACATCATCTAAAGAACAAAGAGTCAATCAGGAACAGTTTTTGTAAAAAAAAAGTAACTTTTTCTTATTACAAAAATGATACATAGGCCAGGCATGATGGCTCATGACTGCAATCCCAGCACTTTGGGAGGCTGAGGCGTGAGGATCGCATGAACCCAGGAAATCAAGATGACATAGTGACCTTGTCTGTAACACAGTGAGATGTAAACATAGTGAGACCTTGTCGCTACAAAAAATATATATAGATATAGATATAGATACAGATATAGATATCAAAATATTAGCTGGGCATGGTGATACATGACTGTAGTCCCAGCTACTCTGGGGGCTGGGACGGGAGGGTCACTTGAGTACAGGAGGTCAAGGCTGCAACAAGCTGGAATCATGACACTACACTTCTGCCTGGGTGACCCTGCCTCAAAAAAAAAAGATACGCGATCATTGAAAAACTAGAAAACAGAGCTAAACCCAAATGCATAAATTAAAAAGCATACATAATGCCATGAAGAAGAGGGAGCCCTTGGTGGCCATTGTCACAGACTTCTTTCTTGGTGGGATGACTTTTCCTTGTCCCCAGTCTCTGTGCAGTTGGACATGTTCCCTAAGCAACCACAACTGACACACACTTGTCCACCCGCTCTAGAGGTTCACGGGTTCTTGGAACACATCATTATTCCCCCACCTCCGGACCAAGCACCAGGAATTCACCTGGTACAAACCGCTGGGGCTTCCCAGTAGGATCATTAGCCCACCTGAGGACCTGTCCTCTACCTGCTAGGGAGCCACGGTTAAAAGCCTAGCAGGACAAATAACCCACACTTGTGAGTTAGACACACACAAAATCACTGTCCTCCCCTTCTCCTCCTTCCTATTAAGAAGACTAAAACCAGCTGGGCGCGGGGGTTCATGCCTGTCATCCCAGAACTTTGGGAGGCAGAGGCGAGAGGATTGCCCGAGCCCAGGGTTTGAGACCAGCCTGGGCAATTGCTGAGACCTCATCTCTGTGACAAATCAAAAAATTAGTCGGGTGTGGTGGCGTGCACCTGGGGTTCCAGCTAATTGGAAGGCCGAGGCGGAAGGATCACCTCAGCCCAGTGGGTCGAGGCTGTGGTGGTCGTGAGCGTGCCACTGCACTCCAGCCTGGAAGACAGTGGGACTCTTACTCAAAAAAAAAAAAAAAAAAAGACTAAAACCATTTCTTCACAAAATGGCTTCATGCTAAACGATAGCTCTTATACTTATTGAGCCCTCACTATTGCTAGGACAGTAGCAACCACGATGCAAATTGTATTATATTTTATTTTTTAAGTTATGTATTTATTTATTTATTTGGGATCTCACTCTGTCACCCACACCCAGGTTGAAGTGCAGTGGTGTGATCACAACTCACCACAGCCTCCGACCTCCTGGGCCCGGGCGATCTCCCTACTTCTGCCTCCCTAGTAGCTGGGAATACAGCCACGCACCACCACACTCGGCTAATTTTTTAGTTTTTGCAGAGAGGAGGTCTCACTATGTTGCCCAGGCTGAGTCTTGAACTCCTGGCCTCAAGCCATCCTCCAGCCTCCGCCTCTCAAAGTGCGGGGATTGCAGTCGTGAGTCACCGTGCCTGGCCCCAGTGGTCTTTTCAGATATGTTTCCTTCCTACTAGACTTTTCAGGACCGATAGTTTACACCCTCTCGGCAGGCCTGGTGCCCAGCACAGAGCGACAACTAGGGTAGGCTCAGTAAATGCTATGGGTGGTGAGCAAATGTCAACACACTCCTCCAAGATAAGCTTTTGAATTCCGGCCTCTGGGGATGTGTTTGTAAAGTAGCAGGTCACTTATCTGGACACACCTTCTGCCCCCTTCCCCTCCCGTTTTCCCCGAGCTCTGATGGAAGTCGCTTGAGAGCCAGCAGAGGGAAGGGAACAGAGGCTAGAGCCGGCCTCCCCACTGTGGCGCTGGAGGCAGGATTCCCTGCCCTCCTCTCCGAACGTGGACTCCAATAGATGCGGGAGCCTGGCTCTCGCCCCCTACCCGTCCCCACCCACTCAAGGGTGAATTCTCTTCCTGCGGTGGCAATGGCTAGGGTCTGTTTCTGCAGAACTGCCACGGAGGGAAGCCCCACTGGCAAGCAGTGAGAAAACATGGAGTAGAAACAACAAACAAACAGGCTGGGAGAGGGAACTGCCAAAACAAACCAAATGCAAGAGGGCTGACTGCCACTGCCTCAGCTGGGCCCAGGTCAGGAGGGCAGAGACGAGAACACATACGTGCAGGGAGACACAGTTGCATCCAGCTTCCTGCCGGCTCCCCACTCTGCTACTGGGGGCTCCCGAGTAAGGAGTCTTGTAGTCAAGGCTGACGGTTGTGGAGGGGCAACAGAAATGTCAGCAGCCTTGTCTCCTTCAGCATCCCAGGGCCTTCTGCCACCTTGAGTCCCTCTAGCCCCAGAATGCACCCTGTCTACCCATGAATTCCCCCTTGATCTCTCTGCTGGAGACGACTTCTCCCCTCTTCTCTCCCTGGCAAACTCCTATTCATCCTTCAATACCCAGGTCAAAGGAGAAACCATTTTGAACCCTTTCTACATTTCCTGATGGCTATTCTTTTTACACAGTACACCTTACTCATTTACAAAAGTGTGTGTCCGCCTTCCCAAATAAATGGTGAGCTCCTTGAAGGTAGGGGTCACTTTATACACCCAAGCTAGAAGGAAGGGATTTTGATAACTTAGGAGCCTGATTTTCAGACCTTTAAACTGCCTTCACATGAACTAGAATAAAATTCTATTACTAACTCTTAAATCAGAGGCTTTCATACTTTTGCATGATCTAGCATAAAAAACACAATTTACATCCTAACTAGTACACCATGTGTATATACACCTAACTGAAGAAACTTCAACAAAACTTTGCCATTTCAGTTGTACTTTTTTTTACTTTCTTTTTTCAAAAAAGGCCAGAACCCAGTAATTTATCTCAAGGTCCACTATTGGTCATTACCTTTGATAAACATTGCTTTAGATGATTCTAGCTTGATAAATGTGAAAAAAAAACCAGGTCATCTCACAAATATCCAAAGAGTATTTATTACCTATGTGTCTAATAATTATTTATTAGGGTGAAAATTATTTTTCCCAGTGGGGCAGCCCAGTCTGAAGGGTATAAAGGGCTCTGAACCTCAGAGTCCAGGAGCCATCTGGACCCCACAGGACTAGCAGCTTGGCCAGGTTCGGTGGCTCAGTCTGGCATCCCAGCACTTTGGGAGGCTGAGGGATGTGGATTGCCTGAGCCCCGGGTTCGAGACCAGCCCGGGCAACTTGGCAAAACCTCGTCTCTACAATAAATCCAAAAATTAGCCGGCGTTGGTTGCACACGCCTGCAGTTCCAGCTACTTGGAAGGCTGAGGTGGAAGGATCGCAGAGCCCAACAGGTCGATGCTGGGATGGCCATGAGCGTGCCACTGCACTCCAGCCTGGGTGACGGAGTGACTCCGACTCAAAAACAAAACAAAACAGCTTGTCAGTCCCTACCACAGAACCTGACACCAAGGCAACCCGAAGCCTTAGTTTGCTTCCTTTACAGATACATCCTGAGCACAAGGCTTCCCAGCTGCGTCTCAGCAGGTAAGAGTGTGTATTTTATCCACCCAGCCTTCCTCTGAGATGAAAAAAATTCTTTTTTTTTTTTTTTTTTAGTTGGAGTCTCACTCTGTCACCCAGACTGGAGGGCAGGGGCCACTCCTGGCCACCGCAGCCTCGACCTGCTGGGCTCCAGCGATCCTTCCGTCTCAGCCTTCCTAGTAGCTGGAACTACAGGCGTGTGCTACCACGCCCAGCTAATTTTTTGATTTATTGTAGAGATGAGGTCTCGCCAAGTTGACCAGGCGGGTCTCGAACCCGCGGGCTCAGGCCATCCACTCACCTCAGCCTCCCAAGGCGTGGGACTATAGGCTGAGCCACTGAGCCCGGCTTGAGATGAAAATTTTAAAAGCAAACATCGGGATTGTCAGGCATCTGCACTGTCCTAGTCTCGTGGAAGTCACACTGTTCATAGTAGGATCTATGCCCTCTGTGGAAGCAGGAAAACTTGGGTTTCCCTCCTGTACCTAGATTCTTGTAAAGTTTCCGACTCTCCCAGTTCAGGGACGCACAGAACTTAACTTGCACAGGGAAGGGGCAGTGGCAGTGGAATGGCAGGGCACTAACACTATTTGGTACTTTTTATTGTATAGGACAGTAGTTACAGAGCACACGGATTCGGGAAGACCCACCGCTTGGGCCGAACAAAAGGCAGTCATCCCCTCCCTCGATGCAGAGTCCTTCGGGCTGTCCAGGAACAGGCCTTTTCTTACGTGGCTCAGATCAGAGGTCCACGACATTACTCGGCACGAGCACCACGCCGGGCCGGTGGGGCGCTGCTGGAGCGGAGGCGGGGGAGGCCAGCCTCGGTTCGCTTACTTGGGCGTGACCCTGAAGACGCGGATGTGGATGGCGGAGTTGTTTCGGATTCGGGTCAGCGGCTCTCGCGCGTCAGCCTCTGGCTCCAGCTCATCCACGAGCTCCACGGTGGAGGTATTGGCGGCCACCTGCAAGGACCCGAAGCTGCCCGCCTGCAGCTGCAGGGCGATGTTGATAGCGCGGTTGATGGCCAGGCCCAGGCCGTGGATGTAGATCTCTGCGCAGGCGTTCGGACCCCGCGCCCCTCCGTCCAGCAGCTTCTGGCAGCGGGCCAGCTGGGCCGTGAAGTCAGTCTTCATGTTGACGTAGATGTCGTTGGGCCTGCGGGGCAGGCGGTGGGGAAGCCGCTTCCGGAGCGTGTACTCCACCGGGTCCAGCTCGGCCTCGACGGCCCCGCGAGGCTCTCGGTTTTCTGCCATGCCGCGAGCCCTGGCACGCGGGAGGGA